TGCTGTCTTTCATTTTATTTTTTCTGTGGCATTAGCTAGCCCTGCTGGTTTGAAAGGTCTGCATGTCCTGCTGTGTTTCCACTTTTCCAGGTCACCTACAAGTAGAGAAAGATGAAAATGAACCTAACCACCCCAGAAGCTCTTCTTCTCTTGACAAACTTCCATCTGATACTTAACTCTTCCCACATTTCTCTCTAAACATTAATAAGCTAATTCTTTATAGGACTGAATATTGACTTGCACTTTGCAGCCTTAAATATTAGCTCTACCTGAGACACTGTGACAGAAAATATCATAAAGACCAAGTACATTATGTCTGACTCTTCACCCATATCCCCTCTGATGCAATGTTCACAAAGTCATTAACCGAGTTTGTTAACCAGGCCTGCACTCTCATAACAGACATCAGCAGGCCCTGCCTAAGAATGAGATCTGTAGCTAATTTAGCAGGAGGTGACCTTTCAGAGGAGGCTGGAAAGCCAGTGGAGTGTGTAAATATGGAAACGGAGGTAAAGACCCATGCTGAAACAGTGGAAATGAGGGGAAACTTGTGTAAAACCTTTGGCTGAGCTCCATGATGTTGAACGTTGGGATGGAAACCCTGGCATGAAATGATCGTTGTACTACTTAGTAGTATACCAGCCAACCCAAGGATTTTTGCTCTGTGTCACCTGGAAGACATCATAGGGATGGCCTAGTCATAAAAATTGGTCATTAAGATAATTAGATTTATTTCAAGGAAACAAGAACCATTTTTCTACTACTTTCTATGGGAAAATATGGGAAATATGCATATCCATTTGCATTCTAACAGTATTCTAAGTATTCAAAAATAAGAATTCTAGTAATGTACTGAAATAAGATCACAATTACTTCAGATATGCAAAGAAGGGGCTTGTGCTTCTGATGCAATTAGCAGGTCACATCCCCACCTCCAGAGCTGCATGAGGTGCATGAACAGGGAGACTGGGAGCTCCAGATCCTTTCTGTTATCCAGGCTTTTCAGTAGTGTACGTTTCTCATGAATAAAATGTTCCTGACTGCTTGACGGTTGTATTACCAGCCCTACAGGAGGCCACTCCTCCTCCGGTCCCGGGTGAGGTGCATGTGGAGGCCGGGTGGACACCTGTGACCATCCCTGCCCTCCACCGATGACCACGAATGGGCCTCCCACCTTCCCCGCCAAGCAGGGGCTAGGGAGACATTGCCAAAGCAACGGCCCCTCACACCCCCCACCCCAGGATGTGGTTGCTATGTCAACGCTCTCCTTGTGGCATCCACCCCTGGAGGGGTTGCCATGGAAACCATGCTCCCCTGAAGCATCAATAGGGTTGGTTTCTTATTGGCCTTTCTGCCCCCAAAATGTCCTGCCATGAAGCTGGGATAACCCCTGGACATGTCCTGCTCTGTCCCACCCTGTCCCCATGGCCGTGCCAGCCCCAGCTGCACACAGCTGCTCTCACCAGTTCACCAGCTGTGCAGGGCTGACCTGATGGGAGACCTTTTACTGTCACAGCGCTGGAAGAGATCGAATCCAAGCACACAGACAGTCATCAGACAGACTAATGTGATGGACTTAGCTTCTCTTCTCAAGGAACAGTGGAAATGGGAAGCTGCTGGTTTTGCTGGTGATGGAGTTTATTGGTGCACGGATGTGGGAAGATGTAGCAGGGGATGCACGTCTGCTTGGCAGGTAGATATACATTCTCAGGGCAGGCTTGTATCATATAACAACAGCCAAAACCACCTTTTCATGTAGAAATACTTTCTGTATTACATCACTCTCTTAAAATTCCCGAAAGCTCCAGAAGGTGTGATTTTTTTTCAGATGAGTCTGTTGTGGGAAGGAACTGTCTGAACCAATTCTGTAGAAAGGCTGTAGTTAGAAAATGTGGAAAAAATATTCAAAACCCCAAATATTCCATGGAACATTAAAATATACAGGAGTACTTTTAGTGCTGGTATTTGAACAGAAAACATCAAAGGTCTTGACTGCACAACTTAATAAAGCACAGTTAATGAATCCCTGCTTATCCCTAGAATATTGGAGCAAAGTGATTTGTTTTAAAAGATGTCTCCACTATCACAGGGACCATCTGGGGATTTTAGGTGATAGCATAGTAGAGGAGTTTGCAGACACAGTCTGAAGAATCAGAATGCTGACACTGCAGAAAAAAAGCCCCTAGTTTCAGGGTCACGGGACACTCACACATGTGCAGTGTTTGGCTTCTTCCATATACATCTTAGTTAGTGAGTGATATGTTAAATACTAAATAAGAAGCGTTTGCATTCAAGAATTTATCAGTGCTCAGTATTTAGGACTGTTAAGAGTTCATGTGCATACTCTGAGATTACAAATACCTGCTTTGACATTGACTCTGAGAAATGTGTAATGAGGTCATCTAGTGCTGAACCACCAAAGGGGCAGAGATGGGCTCTCCTCAAGAATAAGGGACTTCATATACATCTTAACTATTGTTACTCATCTGCTGTTGCTTATCTAAGAGAAGTGAAACATGTAACTGCAGATGACCTCACATAATCAAGGGGGGAACTTACAAAAATGCCCAGATCAAGAGATTTTGAGTTATACCTTCTAATACAGACATGTTTCTATCCTATTGTATCTTTGAATGAAGAACTCCTGTTGTTCTCTAAGTAGTATTACTGCGCAATTAATTGTCTGGAACATACTTAGAGAAAACTAGAAATCATCCTCTAATCTAATCCTAAAGATCATTACTTCATTTGTAATTGTACAGATTTTGATCATATTTCACATTGGGACCAAGCAGTTCCAAATGAGTCTCAAAGTCAGCCTTTGTGCTTTTCTCTCCTCTGTGTTCACCATGTGGCATAGAAAATTGGTTCACAGTATGACATAAAAGATATGTAAAACATCCTCCTTCTTCACTAGATTTCAAACTTTATCTCTCGGGAAACGGGAACTTGTTTGTGTAGAAACCTCAAATCATGATGTTCTCTGTGTTATTGAATATATCTTTGATCCAGTAGATGCTTAAGGTAAGAATACACATTTATTTCTGGAAATCAGTCATCTAGACCTGCCTAAGCAGAAGCTGCTCAGTCCCCTATATATTTTCCTCATCTGCTTTCAAAACCTACGTATTCTTTTGGCCTTTACAATGCCTGTAGCAGAGTTCTTAAATGTAATTATGTGCTGTATGAAAAACTGTTTAGTTTGTTTTCACCCGATAATTTAATTTTCCCACTTTCTTCTGCTATAAAATATTGTCAATACAAGATCTTTATCATCTTTTAAACCATTCTTATTTTACAAGTTTTAATTATGGACTTCTGTGGTAGTCTTGGCTACATATCATTTTCTGAAGTTATCAAATGGATATGCCTACTCTCAAGCATTACTTTCTTCTGGCAAAACACCTCATGGTAATAGTGCTGGTCCTAGCTGTAACTCTTCTAGGAATGAAAGAAACTTCATTGCAATCAAAGTACATTGATTTCAGTCCATGAACCTTCCCTGAAGAACTTCCAACCTAAAACTGGAGATAGAAACAGCAAGATGACAGGTACATATGTCTTCAAATGGGTCCATTTATTTAGCTGATTCAAATTTCTTAGCTTAATATCACTGATGCAGTGGAAGAAACCTTTTAGGAGGGAATGAGGCTAGTGAGGTGAAATGGTGTACTCCATGTAGCAAAACAACATGGAACAGTATTTGGAATCAAGGTTGGAGAAGAGCCCAAAAGTGCCCCAGTTAACATTTCCTAACTCATATTTACTTAGAAAAAGTGAGTTTGTTACAAATTTTATCACTGTAGTGAACTCCATGACAAACTCTTTAGTGAGTAGCTTGAAAGCAAGCAAGCTACTTGAGTGTTATGTGATGTAAAGGGCAAAAATGAACAGCTAATTCATCTTTGAAACATCCAACTTCCACAGGAGCATCAGTATTGACAAAAAGACTGTTACAATTTAGGTACCACACTGAGGATAAATTCATATTCAGAAGCAAGAGAATGTTAATCTATAGCCATTTCTAAACATATTATGAAATTACTTAGTTTCAAAGTAAGAAAGAACTTTAAATTTTATTTCAATACACAATAACACTTGTTACTAATATCAAATTCCTCATGCTTTAAAACTGCAGAAATGTTTTCAGAACAATGCCCTGAAGCCAATTATAGGTTAATTTAAGGGACCACCATAATTCTGGATTATAACAACCTTTAGAAAGGGTTTGGTTGCATACTTGTTGCTTTTTTCTTTGAATATTAATGACTTAAAGGCTTGAATAGTATATATATATAAATTATATATATGAGCTAAATTTTTTAGAACTTTTATCTTGATTTTTCTGAGGCCTGTGTTTCTCTGCCTAAGGCATCAGTGTGACATATACTGTTTCAAATACAGATATTCTGCTTCTTCTACAAAATAAATGGAAAACAGACATTAATAAAAGAGACCTCTGTCTAAGATTTCATTCCTTTGAAATTTTCATGTGGGAAAACCATCTCTGCTGCCATCCTGCACCTAATTTGATCTACTTTGCAGATTAAACACAATGGAATTTGCAAGTATACATATTTACATGTAGGGGACAGTAGATAACACCATAAACTCATTAGAACTAATATAATAGGAGGGGAAACATGACATGTCCCTTTACAGCGGATCTGTATAGATCTTCAGTAGAGTCCCAGTTAATTCCTCTGTTACATTTCTTTCCTGGTCCACACATGGGAAGCACAACATACACATTTCTACTCAGCAAACTTTAGGTCAATTTTGAAAGAAAAAGTTCAGTGTCAATCTGGAGAGTGGAGATGTTGTATACCAGAAAGATCAATGACCCCCTCCTGTGCAACAACAGCAAGTGGATAGCAGTGGGGATGAAGCAGAATATTGAGAAATCATAAATGAGAGAGGTTTGGACAAAGGGAAGAATAATGTGGGGAGTTAAAAGGGACAGACACAGGGCTCACAGGCAGTGGAACCACACCACCTACCTGAAATACTTTTGCCAAATTGTCAAAGAGGGCTTGACCAGCGCTGACTTTATGCTTGACTCCCCTGACTGTGCCATTTTTGCTGAGGATGTTGACTCGCTTTGTACCAAACCCCCTCTCTTTAGTGGCTCTGACTAAAATGAGCAAGTCGTCCTGCTCATTCTCATTTTCATCGCATTCAGACCCTACGTGTCCATTCTGCTGCCCGTCCACTTCACTCAGCCGGCTGGTTTGGTCAGTCTCTGAGCTACTGGCGTACTCGGAGTCCAGAGAGTCGGCAGCCTCCCCATCGGCGTACACCTCCTTCAGTACCCTCCCGCTGTGCGAGGATGCAACGCGGAATCGAACCTTCCTCGACAACCTCTCACTGTCCGCCTTCATCTCACTTTTAAACATCGCCTCTTCCATTGATATAAGCAGTTTGCATTGTTCCAACGTGGTGCCCATTGCATTTGCCAGTTTGTCACACTTAACAACAATATCAGTGCTGTTTTCTGTTGACAGAGGTTCTCATATTAAACTAAAGAGGGATCCCAAGAAGCTACACTGCCGTTCTGCAGTTAATAATGGATGCGTTTGTGCTATGGTTACTTTTAAACTAAAACCTGTAAAACGATCTCATCAATTAAATATTAAAAAGCCATTGTGTACTTTTCAGCACTAAGGAAGAAAGCAAGAAAGGGAGAAATTATATTCCTTGATTAAAATAAAAATTCAAGCCCACACATGATAAACACAATAACAGAAATTACAAGAGTTTATATGAATGCAGTTTTTGTTTGCTGAAAAAGACAGAGAGTAATTTTTTCACAAGATCTGCAGAGTCCAAACTGTTTATGTACATTATACCTGAGGGGAAAATTGCAAACTTCAGCACTGACGAGGAGTCAATGATGGGCACATTCCTTTCATCAAAATACTTCATTCCCCTACCAGTCAGATCTCATTCACCAAAGTTTGTTTTTTATGTAAGCTTACAGAGATCCATCGGGGAGCTCTGACTTGGCGTTTTGCGATGCTGGCCTTTTCACAAACTGGCAGAACAGTGGAGAAGCAATTAGTCACAATTTATTGCACAGAGTAATGCAGTGTTATTAAATAAAACTGAGCCACAGCTAGTACCACACAGTAACCACAGCCTATGTTCTGTTTTGTCAGTTATTCAAGGGACTGGGCCAAGGGAATCTGAACAAGGAACAGCAGAAAGCTAATTAATTGGGGCAACAAGGGTCAAACAAAGAAAAGTAGGGTAAAGTGGATTCAACTGCAGGGGAAGCAAATTCCTCTATCTCTAATCACAAGTAGAGGCTGACACAGTGTTAGGCACCCAGCTCTACATGTAAAAACAACAAACCCACACTTGAGGCTTCTGGCTACGTCTACTCAATATCATGTAGTAGCATCTGAGACTCCCAAGCTGGTTCTGAGTTTGCATGATGATCCCTACTTACAGTGCTATTTCTACATTTTCTTCCTGCAAAGTAAAATGCAAAGCATTCCTTAGAGCAGCATTGAGAACTCCATCCCCTTCTCACTTTCCTGGCAAACATTCCCTACGCACTCTCAACATCTTCATTTTCTCTCTAGACTCATGAATACTGAATTGCTTCCTGAAGCCTGTGACCCCCGACAGGTGTAGGCATGAAATGAGTCCCTAGATGCTGAGCCAACCTGCGGTCATGAGCAGCTGCAGAGCTCCAAACATCTGCGGAGGCTTTCTGGCCAAGATTTTGGAAATGCAGGCTCAAATATTTCGGTAATTATGTGGGGGTAATTGTGACTTTCTTTTGAACAAGAGGCATGAAAATTACTGCTCTTCAGTCCAAGTAAAATCACAATTCTTATGACTAATCTCTAGAATTACTGATTTTCCATCTACAACAGAAACAGAAATGACTAGTGACATTTCATAGCACTAGTGGTTGCCACACTTCTTTCTAAAATGAGACCATTCACTGTAATGTCAACTACTATTATTCACATAGAAAAAAAATAGATTAAAATAATAAGTTACGAGAGTTAAAATGCATTGCTACTCATCTTTCAGAGAAGAAAACCAGCTTGTATCAAAGTCTGTACTAATATTGAATACAGTTGTAAGACACCTTGTGAAATTCGTTGCAGGGGCTGTGGGTAGGGGTTGGAATCACACTGATTGTAATATAGTCACTTGCCCATGGAAGCTTTGACAACAAATACCGTTCATTATTATTAAAAACTGATTTAGAATTAAGACTATTCTGTAGCAGAATGAATATTTCAAAATATCTTTTATGGAATTATCCAAACAGGGCTGCCAGGTACCTGGAGAAATCACTTATCCTATTACCTGCCCCAAAGTCAACTGTATCATAGTGTTTCCAGGATTACCTGAGTGATCTCCTCTTAGAAACCTGCAGTAATTAACTTTGTTAATTTTCTTTTTTTTAATTAAATAATAAAACCCAAGTGCTTTGCAATGAATTGCCACAGATTAAAACATCTAAGCTTCTATAACAGAAATATTTTGCACAACACTTATATAATATTTTTGTCTCCTCCAATTGATGCTATATGTTCTTCAACATAGAAACCATTTTACTCCTATTGCAGACAACAGGTGAGATTATATTGTCTGCAGTGCAAAGGATTTTGATGCTGAGTGATTAAAAAAGTTACTGTAGCATTGAATAACTGCAGAATTAATCAGTACCACATTCAAAAACACTCCAAATACTGTTAGCATCTTGTTCTCTGTTAGTAGGAAATCAGCTCATTGTTTAGTTTCATGGCAATTCCATTATTCACTGGGAAATATTTTTGTGTCTGGTTGTGAGAAATGAGAAACTGTATGCACAGTTTTCTCTGCAGAGAAATTGTTAAGCACCATGGAGCGTACCCCTTGACAGAGGCATTTACATGTGTAAGATTTCATCTTGACGTTCAACCTGTGGACCTTCTCTGAGCAAACATGTGACTTTGGGGGTAAGTGCAGATAACCAGCAAGAAAGAGATTACAGACTCTGAAGTGGTTGTATTCATGACATAAGACCTTTGAGAGTTCAAAGACTTGAAACGCACATATTTGTACCATCTGCTGGGTGCATGTTCTCAACAAAAGCAGAAAGGACCGAACTTGACTAAGCATAAATGCTGACAGTAACTCCACTTACCCAGTTTGATGCTGCCAGCTGTTATATTTGCGTTTCTCATTTTCGAGCTTCTCTAGACAAACTTCTTTTCATTCAAAGGGTTATTTCATTTAGTGAGCAGTATCCATTAAAAATTAATGTGGCAGAGTTTTGCAGTAATGAGATATTCTTTACCCGTAATTATGACTCTTCCTGAATCATTTGGCTATCATTAGTTTTTGTTTCTGCTTAGTTTCATTCTAATGTTTTGCCATTGATTAATTTGAGACCAGGGGTTCCAGAAAGCATAAAGTCGAAGCACACAGAGAAAAAAGTTGTCACTACAGAGATCTCTCCTGAATAGAGAAGCACTCTGTAAAAAAACACCTGGAAAGAAGATATTACAAACATTGCCTCTTCTTTGACACTGTCTCATCTCACAAGGAACTGGACCAACCCTTTGGCAGGGAGGGCGGACTAGATGATCTCCAGAGGTCCTTTCCAACCCCGACCATTCTGTGATTCTGTGATTACCTTGATGTTGTGCTAAATGATATCATTTTGAGTAAAATCCACACATTTTATCACATTCAAATTTATGACTAAGTTGAAAGGAGCAAAGAAGATTATGCTTTTGTTAGTTATTGACCTCTAATGCTTCTTCTTGACACAGAGTCAAGATGACAGTACTGAATGAAGCCCATGGGACAGATGCTGTTCAGTGCAGCCTGAAAGACAAACATCTGCTCTGAGATAGACATCTGAGAATCTTCCATACTCCATGCAAGAAAGTGCCCGCAGAGGGCAAGTCATCACATCTTTCTTCCATGACAGAGAAAGTAGAGAAAGCCTAACTAATAAGCTTAGTCTGAATATTTACCTTCTAAATGACTGAAATTAGGTCGGGTGAGCCAAACCCATTAATACTTTTAAGATTAAAGGTTTGAACTAAGCTAAAGTAGCAATCACCTTATGCCAAGTGAGACCTTTATAGCTGTATCAGGAAGGAAAAAAAGGAGCAGAAGATAATAGAAGGGAATTCTAGTCTCATTTGTAACCCTACACAATTTCTTTAATATATAGGTGAGATCTAGCTGTCAGAGTTCATCATATATATATGTACTTCAATTTCAGTAGCTTATACAAGTAGAGAGTCTGTCCTTGGTATTCCATTTCTGTAAGTTTGGAACACTACCATCTTCACCTCGGGGAAGGGATCACAAGTCACTAACATTAAACTGTAGCAAAATGTTTGAAAGAGTATATAGCCATGTGTATTAAGCAGTAAAGATTGTTTGCATTTTGCTGAAGAAATGTAGAGTGTGCTATTCGAAACTGCTGTAAAAATGGACTTCATGCCATTCCCATTGACCAGAGTATAAAAGGTGTAAAGAACTGTTAGAACTGGTAGTATTAAAATAGCAGCAAAATAAAACCAGAATAATGAAAATTACATTTTTGGAAGAAAACAGATGTCCAAAAAGAAACAAACTATGTTGAGATCAATAAATGCCTTCTTCCTTTCTGAACATGGGATAATTTTAATAGAGCAGTTTACCCTATAACAAAGCGTTATACTCTCTGTTTCAATGCACAGTGTAAGTGGGGCCATTTTGCCTTATGCATTTGCAGGTTACTAAGTATATATAGCAAATCTGTAGGCTGACTTGATACCATTCACACTGGTGTCATTCATCATTAAACAGATGGCATGAATTCACAGTGACATGTCTTGTGATACTAATTTTTCTTCACTCTACAAAGTCTGTTTGCAACCGCGCCTGACTTTATTACACTGGTAGTAATCAGAAGCATACTCTGTAATCTCTAGTTGTTAATGCACAATTAGCAGAGTAATCATCAGGACCCAGATATTCCAAAGTAGATTTCCCATTTGTTTTTGGGAAACAGGTATTTCAGTTTGTAAAAGCACATGTGGAAAGTTGAGTTTGTTTATTTTGTTACAAGTAAGTAAAGTTTGTAAACAACATGCTCTATGCTTTAAAGATTACAAAAGCAGATGATTTGAACAGTGAACGCTAAAATTTTTTCTAGGTGAGACAAATTTAGTGCATTTCCTACGTGCTTTGAGAAGGAATATTCCCATTTGCTAATCTGGTAAAACATCTGTCAACTTCTGTATGGGTCCAGAATAACATTTTACCTGTAGTAAAGTTCAGGAGGACACACAGAGCATGTTCGGGTACCCACCAGGGAACTCTTGCATCTGGCAGTTGTTTGTCACACGGAGCAGCTGCTAAGCAGAAATACTACAGATGAGAACAG